ACATTCATAATATGAGCCGCCATCCATGATGAGAGAGACAAGTTACCAGAGGTAAAATCCATTGCTCTACCCACTGGTGAGGGAATAAATGAATGGAGAGTGGACTTCCTTCACTTTCCATTTTTTAATTTATTTATTCCTCCCTCCTCCACCAGTGCAAAGCTGCAATTGCACAAGTAAAATAAGCATAAGATGTGAGTTAACAGTACTTGTTTTAATTTACGCTTAATCTTTTCAGGGTTTTGCCCAACGTTGCATCCAAAGAAAGTGAGTTATGCTAAAGTCCCATTCAAATTAATGGGGGTATAAATCTAGTCACAACTCACAACTTGCCCTATTGATTTCAGGGAGACTTGCACTACAATACTATGTGCACTTATTTCAGAAGAAGCACCATCAAATACATGGGCGGACATGTACGGAATCACAGCATCAATCAAAACCGTTTCCCTCTGGATTTGGATGCCTGTTCTTATTTATCATGATCAGTTAGTGTTTAAAACATTGCAGGTCTCTTTGTTGCTGCAGTGGACTAAGAGAACTACCCCTCTGGAACATCACATTGCAGTGTTTCTGGCACATCTCTTTCCTTTGCGTTGCCTCTCCTTTAGAAGCGCCTGCGCCAGAAGACCCTCCGTGTCCCAACATGGGTGCTAGTGCACCTGTTCTTGAAAGCAACATGGATTCACAGATGGCTGATAAAGTGTGTCGGGCACTGACTGCAAATTAAAAAATTGCAAGCACTCCACAGCACAGCCTTCAGTCAAATTTAAATGAGCCTCTAGTAAGTTCGCATTACAGTCAATTCACAAGTGCACACAAGGGTGTCTTCACAATAGAGGCTAAGAATAGTACTTGAATTTCCTGTGTTTGCAAATTAAATGAGACACTTGGAATGGGATGAAAATGAACCTTTGCTTTTTTAAAGGCGCTCTTCTGCTTTCTATAGGACATTAACAGCATTATGAAATGGTGCATTGGAGGTGGTAAGATGTTCTTGGGCTTTTTGGCAAATGCCCACAAATTAGTGGGAGCCTAGCAGGCATTGGGAGTTAACCTCTTTGACAGGGCTGTAGCTAGGGGGTGGTGAGGTGGGCCCCCGCCAGGGGCACAGGCAATGGGCCCCCCTGCAAAATCGGCTTAAAAATATGTCCATAAATATAAATATTGACTATTGCCTCATAAGAAACGGTTTTAAATAGAGGGTGGGTTGAATGGGTGAAGGGGGCGGGGTTGTCCATGGCTAGGGGGTGCAATCTGGATGGTTCTGCCAGGGGTGCAAGATCACCTAGCTACGGCTCTGCTCTCTGGTGGGCAACTGCCCCTCACCCATGACAAACATGCTTAGAAGAGAGAGCTCAGGTAGTAGAGCAGGTACTTGCAAGCAGAACGTTCCAGGTTCAGTTGCAATTGCAGCAGCTAGACTCAACTGCTCAGTCAGAGCGCCAGACCAGAAACAAATTAAAATCGTGTCCATGACAGGCAGTAGTGGTGAGCCCCGCCAGGGCATTGGACCCCAGGCAACTGCCCAAAGGTGCCGAGCTCTGAGTCTGTTCCTGAAGCCTAGTTTTACAATGCTTTTAGCAGGACGCAGTATCCTATGGCAAAGGTGGGGCACCTCAGCTCTGGGGGCCAAAAGAAGCCACCCAAGCTCTTTATGTGGGAATCTTCTCAGGCCACACCCACTTCCCAGCCACACCCCATAGGCCACACCCATCCCCAGCCTTCCTTAACAACCTGCTTGGGTGTGTATTTCCTGGCTGGGGTGTCCTTGAAGTCTGGTAATGGTACTTGCCTGTCTGGACTGAGCACAGAGTATGATATGTGAGGGTGTGTAGAAACTCACCCACAATTTATATTTATTGCTCTGCTGTCATGGACTGGTTGGGTGCAGAGGAATGGTAGGAGGAATGGCAAGGGAAGACGGCTCAGAGCGCTGTGGAGTGATGGTGGGACAATAACAAGTGGTCACAGGGAGAAGAGTGGGAAGAGGAGGTGTTGAAAACTGAGGGGTAACACGGCTTAGTGATCTGGGATAAACGGTGACAGAGATAAGTCCAGAACTGGAGGCAGAAACAGAAGCAGGAAAGGGGGAGGAGGAAGGCCAAGAGGTAGAGATGAGTCAGGCTGGTGAAGAATCATGGATGTCTCCCCCTCCTGCTGCAATGAGCTCCCTTACTGCCTTATCTCACAGAACCAGAAGAGGCATGAAAAGGGTGGAGAAATTGGTGATGTACAGACAGTCTCCAAATGCTTGGAAAAAACCCTGGAGAGGCAGGCACCTTCGGCAGGTGTGGGGAGGTGGGGACTTTCAGTCCTGGCAACTGATTTCCATGGAGCAAAACCACCAGGAATAAGTTGCTGTGCTCATTAGACCTGACACTCAGCCAAATCTGTGGAGGCCGTGTTTTTGCTAATAAAGAGTTAACTCCAACTTTGTGCTGTTTGGTTACTGACTGGCACACTCCTGTGACATCTGCCTACCTTTGTCTCTGCTCCCTCTCACCACTGGCATGTGGCCCCTGGAAGTTTGTTCAGAAGGGAATGAGGCCCTCAGCCTGAAAAAGGTTCAAGCGGAACTTATCTGCTACTGAATCTCATCTCCCCAGCCCCATGGAGTCCCAGTAATGTACGGCCCTGACATTGCGACTCACCACAAAATATTTTCCTTCCCATCCTCCAGACTGCCAGTGCTGCAAGACTCTGCTGATCTTCTGGAGCGGGGGAAAATCCAACTATATTTTATGGCTGTTTCTTACAACCTCAGCGGTAATAAAGATGCAGGATGTGTGGAAACCTGGCTTACAATTTTGTTGCTGATGAAGGTGGCAGAGCAGAATCCATCTCCTCTGCTCAGCACCACAGGGCCATCGGAACAAACTTGTACCAGGCATAAGGGCTTAAAGACAAATTGAAGGTCGCTACCCGGAAAAAGTGCAAAAGCCATGATTGCTCTTTGCAATAGCCCCAGAGGCTCAGCGCTTTCCCAAAAAGGGTATGCGGCCATCCCTTTTACGGACTAACCTATTACATCTCCCCCTGCCTTATAAGACTTGGTTTTATAGCTTGCTCTATCCTAAGGGCTTGAGCACAGGGCAGGCTATTTGTTTCTTGCACTGTTTTACACAGTGGAGATTGGAGCATTAGGGAGAGTGGGGGCTGCCCCACCAACTCTGTCTGCCCCCATTCAGTCCAGAGGGTGGCACTGGGTCAGGGCTGTCTTACCCAGGGGTAGGCAACCTAAGGCCCGTGGGCCGGATGCGGCCCAATCGCCTTCTAAATCCAGCCTGTGGATGGTCCGGGAATCAGCATGGTTTTACATGAGTAGAATGTGTGCTTTTATTTAAAATGCATCTCTGAGTTGTTTGTGGGGCATAGGAATTCGTTCATTCCCCCCCCTTCAAAATATAGTCCAACCCACCACATGGACTGAGGGATGGTGGACCGGCCCACGGCTGGAAAAGGTTGCAGACCCCTGGTCTTACCCATAGGCACTAGGAGTGTGGGGCATCCGTGCGCCGGGCTCTCAGGGGCGCCAGGCTGAGAGTCCAGGGAAGAGCCCACCCGTCAGCTGGAGTGCCATGGTGGGTTCTTCTGCTGCGGGCGGCTCTGCACCATGAGTTCAGGGGCGACCGAGCCAGCAAGATGCTGAGGCGGCTGGCCAGCTCTGCCCTCTTGTGTGCCTGGGACTGGGCAACTGGGGGCGGGGCAGGCGGATCTGTGCACCCCGGTGCTGCATATGCTTAAGACAGCCCTGGACTGGCTATCAGTTCCCTCCTCCTTAGTCTCAGTGTTTTCCCTGTAGAACTCATCCCCTTGTAAGGGAGGAGGATGGGACTGAACTACAATTAGTTGTTTCCACCTATCATTGGCTGCAGCTTAGCCTGTCACTAACTCTGGCTCCACCTACTGTCGCCAGCAGCCATGGATAAACAACAAAGCAAATCCCCTGTGAACAACCACAGGCAACACACGGCTAATAATGTGCTAACAAAATATTTATAACAGCATAATGTTTCACAATTCATAAACAGAAAATATGCAATGGAGTAACGAATAATTGGAGTCATGAACAACAATAGAGAGCATGGTTAGTCAGTATCAGAGAACTTGGAGATGAAGGCAAAATGCCTTTCAACAGTCACAGTCCTGCAAATGTGCAGTGACGTAGCGTAGAACAGTTTTGCCGGATGATGAACTGTTTCAATGGTAATTCTTCATCAGCAAATGAATTGTCCCTACAGGTACATCAAGTATCAAAGGATCATCAACCACTGAGAAGTGTAGTAAGCTGATACCAGCTTACCAGACCAGGTTCAAATCCCCACTCAGCCATGGAGCTTGCCGCATGACCCTGGACCAGTCACAGTCTCTCAGCCTGACCTACCTCACAGGGGTGTTGTGAGGATAAAATGGAGAGAGGTAGGAGCACCTTGGAAGAGAGATGGAGTATTAATGCAATCCGTATAGTTAAAGCCATGGTTTTCCCAGTAGTGATGTATGGAAGTGAGAGCTGGACCATCAAGAAGGCTGATCGCCGAAGAATTGATGCTTTTGAATTATGGTGCTGGAGGAGACTCTTGAGAGTCCCATGGACTGCAAGAAGATCAAATGTATCCGTTTTGAAGGAAATCAGCCTTGAGAGGTCACTGGAAGGACAGATCCTGAAGCTGAGGCTCCAATACTTTGGCCACCTCATGAGAAGAGAAGACTCCCTGGAAAAGACCCTGATGCTGGGAAAGATGGAGGGCACAAGGAGAAGGGGACGACAGAGGACAAGATGGTTGGACAGTGTTCTCGAAGCTACCAGCATGAGTTTGACCAAAATGTGGGAGGCAGTGGAAGACAGGAGTGCCTGGCATGCTCTCGTTCATGGGGTCACAAAGAGTCGGACATGACTAAACGACTAAACAACAACAACAAAGTCTATCTCAGTATTGTCTACTAAGACTGGTATCAGTTCTCCAGGGTTTCAGGAAGGAGCTTTTTCCAGTCCTACCTGGAGATGCTAGGGATCAAACCTGAAACATTATGCTAGGCAGATGCTCTACCACTGAGCTATGGGTCTTGCCATAAGGTGAGGGGCTTATGCTATGTTATATTGGCTATGGAAACCTAAGACACAAGGAAAGTAGAAATTATAGCAAGGATCAATATTTTTCATTTTCTGTTCCTGCTCACCTTTAGGTAGAGTTTCACATTTTGGCACAGATCCTACCCATCAGCCCTACTGAGGTGAACTGAGAATGTGGGCAGAAGGTGTGCTTCAGGTCTACCCACAATCCCCAGAGAACCGACCACTGCAAGGTATGCGGAAAACCTTTTCCACTTGAATTTTTTCCCTACCATCTTTAGAATGGTGTGTGCGAATGTATAAAACACCCCAAGTAACACCCCTTATAAACTAGGGCAAGGAGAACTTTCTCTGTTACTATGGTGATGGTTGCTGCAAAACTCTTCAGATAGACTGATGTGCAGAAGAACAAAAGCCTCTCAGAAAGACATAGGGGATTTTACTGTACGGATATGGGTTACCTCAGCAGATCTGGAGAAGGAGCCTCTTGAGAAAACAGTTCCACAGAGAATGGTTACTCCAGAGCATTGGCTTGCCTTGTGTGGTGCCATGCCACCCCCCAAAGCTAACTGTTTAGTGAAGAGAGTGTGCGTGTGGGGAAAAAGAAAGATGTGATCAGAAGTTGTGCTTGCCTGAAGAACTGGGCTTGTTTACAGTAGCAGGTCAACAGACGTGTATTTGTATATAAAAAGGTAAAGGACCCCTGACAGTTAAGTTCAGTCGCTGATGACTCTGGGGTTGCAGTGCTCATCTCACTTTACTGGCCGAGGGAGCTGACTTTTGTCCGCAGACAGTTTTTCCGGGTCATGTGGCCAGCATGACTAAGCCGCTTTTGGCAAAACCAGAGCAGCGCACGGAAACACCATTTACCTTCCCGCCGGAGCGGTACCTATTTATCCACTTGCACTTTGACGTGCTTTCGAACTGCTAGGTTGGCAGGAGCTGGGACCGAACAACGGGAGCTCACCCTGTAGCGGGGATTCGAACCGCTGACCTTCTGATCGGCAAGCCGTAGGCTCTGTGGTTTAGACCACAGCACCATCCATTGTATTTGTATATATACAAATATATATTTTTATATTTGCATATAAATGTGTGCTCTCATGGGGTGCATGAATGGATGAAACCACAAGCAGAGATAGGCAATTCCTCCCAAAGTTGTCCTGATCAAATAACTCGCTGGCTTGGTTCTGGAAATTATGCTTCAAACCACAGTCAAGTTAGCACACAAGAATCTGAGGCCATGCCTTGATCCTGGTTTTTGTTTGTTTGTTTTTAAGCATCGTGCCCCCTGATATTTTGGACTACAACTCCCATCATCCCTAGTTATTGGTCATGCTGGTTGGGGATGATGGGAGCTGTAGTCCACAACATCTGGAGGACACCACGTTGCCTCCCCCAGTCTAAACCAATGGGTTGGAGCAAACCACAGCTCCCACAAGTTCACCTGTAACACAGAACTGTGGTTTGCTCATACCACGAAAGGGAAAACGTTCTTTTACCTTCAGACTTGGAGGAGAAATAGAGGACAGAGGAAGTATGTGAGTCCAGGGCTGTCTGGAACTCATTTCTGGCTTTAAATCCATTTTTAATGTGATTATCCTAAGTAGACCTTTATTTCTTTCATTGCCTATGGAAAAAGAAAAGAAGAAACCCTAATTCTGGCCCTCCTTACGACAATTGCTTCCTGCATCTGTTATCAACCTCCCTCTCAGGTTTCTCCAGGCTAGACAACTGCATCTCCTTCTGTTTCCCTTTCATTCTGCAGCCATTGCTTTTCTTAGGTTATTTACAGCTTTTCTTTTTTACATATTTATTCGAGTGAGGCCAGCTGATACAAGAGTTGAACAAGGATTTAGTGTTTAGAGATGAACAAATATTTAGAAGGGATTTAGCATTGCTGGTCCCATACTGTGGAACACTCTTCCAGCAGAGATTCAGCAGCCGTCCTTGCTGTTAACCTTCAGATATCTCTTGAGGACATTTTTATGCTGGTAGGGCTATCTAGTTGCTTAATTTTTCATTTCTTTTTAGATTACTCAGTCATTTTGCGATTATTTTTTATTATATCATAAGATATTTCATAAGTGTAGGTGGTATATTTTATAAAGACATAAATAAACATGAATAGTCCAAGAAAGCTCTCCCCCATGACCAAGTAGTTGAAGTACCTTCTTTATCCTGTTCACGACAAGCTGGAATGTGTGCACGGGAGAGTGACCAAGATGATAAACGGCTTATAAACCAAGCCTTATGAGGAACAGTTGAAGGAGTTGGGTACATTTAGCCAGGAGAAGACTGAGAGGTGATTTGATAGCCATCTTGCAATATCTGAAGGGCTGCCACATGGAAGATGGAGCGAGCATGTTTTCTGCTGCTCCAGAGGGTAGGATGCAAACCAATGGATTTAAATTACAAGAAATGAGATTCTGACTTAACAGTAGGAAGACCTTTCTGGCAGTAAGAGCTGTTCAGCAGTAGAATGGACTACAGTGGTACCTCGGGTTAAGAACTTAATTCGTTCTGGAGGTCTGTTCTTAACCTGAGGTACCACTTTCGCTAATGGGGCCTCCCGCTGCTGCCGCGTGATTTCTGTTCTCATCCTGAAGCAAAGTTCTTAACCCGAGGTACTATTTCTGGGTTGGCGGAGTCTGTAACCTGAAGTGTCTGTAACCTGAGGTACCACTGTACCTGGGAAGCTAATGGCATCTCCTTCATAGGAGGTTTTTAAACAGAGGCTGGATGGCCATCTGCCAGGGATTCTTTACTTGTAATTCCTTCATTGCAGGGGGTTAGATTAGATGACCCTTGGGATCACTTCCAATTCTGCAATTCTGTGATTCACTGCATATTATTGGGGAAAGGGAATGTGCACAAAAATGCATATATTAGAAGACAAGCGTACAAAGATACGCACAAATTTCCAAAGCTGTGTGTAAGATTTGGTAAGACTGGGTTACTCGATTGCATGTCTAAGACACAATCTTGAGGATCTGCAGGATATTAATTCATCCTGATTTAATTATGGTTCAGTTGTTATCTGATTTTACAGTTGCCTCTGAGGAAGAGCAACAGCTTGAAATGTGTTGGGCACTGTAAATATTTACTGGAAGGTATTTTTTTTTAATGGATACGTTTTTATTTGACACCTTTGGGATTCCCCTCTCTGTTTCCAGTTATATTTGAGCTATTACCCTGATCCCCTCCCACTCCTCCCTTTTTTGGCCACCTCAAATTCAAGAATCAATACACCACCAAATCTCAAATACAATTCTCCCCTTCGGTGATGCAATGAGGCTGCCAGGGGGAGGCTTTTGTAGTGTTTTGTCAATTTCACATCATCCCTTAAGCTCCTGATTTGTTTCACTTCCCCTGGCTCAAATCGCCTTGTCTTTCCACCAGCATGACTGCGGTGACAGGGACTGCATAGGCTTCACAGCCTTATATGCTTAACCAGCTTCCCGCCATTTCAATTCTCTTTTCTAAAAAAGAAGTGTCTTCCGTGTGTCCGCCTAGAGCAGGGCTAGGGAAGAAACCTTCTTTCAGCTTAGAGGCTGCATTACATAATAAGATGAGCCTGCTGGATCAGACCAATAGTCCTGTAGCCATAATGGCCAGCCACATTCCTCCGAAACTCCTAAGCAGGATTCGAGCACAAGAGCCCTCTCCCCTCCTGTAAAGGTAAAGGGACCCCTGACCATTAGGTCCAGTCATGGCCGACTCTGGGGTTGTGGCGCTCATCTTGCTTTATTGGCCGAGGGAGCCGGCGTACAGCTTCCGGGTCATGTGGCCAGCATGACTAAGCCGCTTCTGGCGAACCAGAGCAGCACACGGAAACACCGTTTACCTTCCCGCTGGAGTGGTACCTATTTATCTACTTGCACTTTAACATGCTTTCGAACTGCTAGGTTGGCAGGAGCAGGGACCGAGCAATGGGAGCTCACCCCGTCACGGGGATTCAAACCGCCGACCTTCTGATCGGCAAGTCCTAGGCTCTGTGGTTTAACCCACAGCGCCACCCGCATCCCTCCTGTAGTTTGCAGCAACTGGTATTCAGAAGCATTGCTGCCTCTGATCATGGAGGCAGAGAATAACAATCATGGTCAGGAGCCTTTTAAAGTCTTCTCCTCATCCAATTCTGTTTTACGGGACCGCCTCTCCTGGTTTGCCCCGCAGAGGACCTTAAGGTTCATGAATAACCATAGTTTAGAGGTCCCAGGCCCTAAGGAAGTCAGACTGTCCTCCACCAGGGCCAGGGCCTCTTCAGTGATGGCTCCGACCTGGTGGAATGCTCTTTCCCATGAGACTAGGGCCCTTCAGGATTTAACCTCCTTCTGTCGGGCCTGAAGACAGAGCTATTCCGCCTGGCCTTTAATTTGAATTCAGCCTGATCTTTTATTTCCCTTCCCTTCCTTCTCCCTCCTCTTTTATGAAGATTACCCGCTCTGAGACCCCACAGCTAATTCTCCCATGGTCTCCTTGCTGGCCCAAGTAGGACCAATTCAGCCAGCTAGCCCTGGGGATTATCTAATGCTTATTTCCCCTAAATTGATTTTTGATTTTTATTGTTATTTATGTTTTATACTGTATTTTATGCTGCTTTTACAATTAAGTGTTTTAAATTTGTTGTTAGCCGCCCTGAGCCCAGTTTTTGAACTGGGAAGGGCGGGGTATATATATATGAAAAAAGAACCTGTTTTGCAATTGTGTAATGTTAACATGATTAAAAAATCTTCCTCTCTGCCATTTTTAAAATGGTGGTGATACAGGAGACGGGGAGTCCATTGGCTTGTCATAAATTCTAGATGAATAGAGTCTTGAAAGAACTTTTAGTTTTGTAGGTCTTTTTTTTTTTTAAGGAGAAAAAGAAAATTGTCCCATGGAGCAAAGAGCAACGGTGAAATGATGAAATCGTGTGCTTCCGCCATTGCACAATTCAGTATTTAAAAAAAATAAAAATAAATGAGTGGTGTTGGGGAATAAAACTAAGTGC